CCAAAGCTCCCATAACTAGATGGTATGACCGAGATTACAGATTTCTAGATCCAACCGATAATTGACAACCGTAAACCATAACACAGGCTATTTTTAAAATTCGTCATCCGTGGGATTTGAACTCTAGACCTGCTACTTGGAGAGGGTAACAACTAGACCACTACACTAGGTCGCCACACCTATCTTTATTGAATAATTTATATAAATAATTATATAAAAACTATATAAAACTTAATTTGTGTGATTATAAATAAATATAAACTATATACAAGAATAAAAGCTCAGACTAAAAGTTTGGAATGAACCAAACTAGTTATCTGTGACCTAAACTTACTAGAGTAGTCAAGACTCATTTAGATTTGGATAGGTAATATATAATTAGTAGAAGTGCTATATTGAATCTATATTGTAGACCAAATATTGAATATGTGGTTAGTAAGCCTAGCAGGAGGGCAGATATTAGACTCATCATGGAGTTTATATAGTAAATTACATAGCCAGTTGTAAGTAAATAACCTTTTGGTTCTGGTAATTATATAGAAAAATGATGTTTGATGTGATGGGTAGAAGAAATATTAGTAGAGATTTAATGTGTTTTTTTTCAAGTAGAGAAATTTATACAATATGTTTTCTATATATAGTTATAAAGTTGATTAGAGATTTTAATAAGAATTTGAATAATAAGCTAGAAGGTGAGGGAGTAGAAAATATCAAGAGATAATACAGATTGTACAATTGCAATAGAAATAAGACCTTTAAGGGTTGAGTAAATAGAGTATGGGTAAAGAGAAGAGGGCTAGAAGGAGAAAGCAGAGTGAAAAGAGATTGTATGTATTGGGTAATTAGTTTCTTGATAAAGAAGATTAAGATTGAAGTTGGTAATAGTCTTAGTAATAGAAAAATTGATAACTTGAATTAAAGAGTTGGGACTAGAGTATATATACTAATAGAAAGATGAGTTAGGGAGATTACATTGAAAACAAGAATGAGGTAGGTTAAAGTTAGATGATATAGAGTTAATATAGAATTGTGTAGATAACATATTTAGTAATATTTTGATTTTGAAAGATTTAAGATAATTAAGCTTGGAATTGGTAAAGTTGTATAATCTTTTATAGTTGTTATTAAAAAAATAGCCAAGTAGAGTTCCAGTCGATAAGATTAAAAAAGTATAACTACTCTTAAAAGTGTCTTTGTGAGAACTACATTGCAATAGTTTTGGTATTATGAATATTTTTAATAAAGTATTTAGTAGAATATTCAATAGTAGTATTTTTCTATTAAAGAAAAAAGTAAGAGTTATGGATATTGCAATAATTAAAAAGTAAGGTTGGTGAGGACAGATAATTATTAATGAGAAGGTCTGCTAAGTTGTTAAAGGTATTGTTTGAGTGAGCTTGAACTTTGTGAAGAGATAATCTACTATTGTATACTTTGAATAAGTTGAGGAGTATATACCAGATTGGCCAGGTATTAAATTTAAAATATTTAGTAGTAAAGTGAGAGGTTTGGAGAAGTTAGTTATATTTAGAGATTACTGATTAAGAGTTAGTAAAAATATCTACTAAAAAATTGCAAGGAACAGTAAAGATAACAGAAAGAATAGCTAAAAGTTCTGCTTTATAGAATAAAAACCAATTGGAGATCTAAGCAGAGAAGTTGTATATAACAAAGTTATTAGATAATTAAGTTTAATCAATATCCATAGTGTATTAATTAGTATCAAGATTTAGAATAGAACTATCTGTGTAAAAAGTAAAATATTGAAAATCTTGTTAACAAAAAAGAATTGTATATGGATGTTGGATGCTATATTATAATAAAATAGAGAGGATGCAAGAAAGTCAATAATATTAATAGAGAGGGGAGGTAAAATATAAAAGGGGTTTTTGATATTAATAGATTGGATTATATCGATGTAGTTAGCATTAAGTTTGAGATTGTTATTAGATTTTTTTTGCAAGTTTTGTACCTGGTTACAAAAAAGTGATGGTTCTGACTATAAAGTGGAATCTGTTTATAATTGTTATAGTGCTTTAAACTGATATTTAAAAGAAAATAGTGTTCTTCAACCGATCAAGATTTGAGATCATTACAGATTTCCTCATGCTCTACATACACTTGATGGAAAGATGAGAATGTTGCAAGATAAAGGTTTGGGCGATCCTAAAAAATCTGACAGGTTAACCATGAATGAGATTATGCAAATTCTTGACCATCAATATATGAGTATCAATGATAATGAATCAATTATTCATCGTGTCTTTTTCTGGCTATGTCTTCTATATGGATTGAGGGGTGGAGATGCATATCGACTTTCTAGAAAGGATTTTGAACGCTGTTGAGATGGGGGATTAGAACTTGTGCTATATAAAGGAAAGAATTACCAAGGTGGTGCATTTTATAGAAACAAGTATGGTAGAACTGGTTCACGATGTATACCCATATCTCCAGATTCGTCTAATAACAAGTATATACCGGTTCAAGACATACTTCTATATTTATCCAAATTGCCATTACCCAGTTCGAATTTAGTGAAGGATCCTTTGTTTTACGAAACCTGTAAAAGCAAAAAAGATATAGATTTACTTATACATATATATCAATATGCATGTTTATCGTTATTAGTTGAAATTGCTAACCTTTTTTATCAAGATCTGCAAAAAGATCATTGGTTTAAAGAAAATGCAATGGGTTTTGCAAAACTTAAAAAGATGATGAATAATATTGCATCTAATACTAGAATTGATCTTAGTAACAAATGTATAATCACGAATCACTCCTGTCGATGTACTGCCATTCAGCTTTTAAGGAATAATGGTGTTTCTGAGTTAGATCTTCAATCTTTTTCTAGACATCGCTCTCGAGAAAGTTTAGCTGAATACTGCAAGATTAGTAATGATCAACATATTACAAACACAGCTATGCTTATTCCATTCTCATTTGAAGATTTGGATCTAGATGAATACGATTATGGCAATAGATATAAAGGTTTAGTTGAAGAAGCAAATGAAGACAATGAGTCGGGTATATTATTACAATTTTATAAAAATATTAAAATTTCAAGTTTTGAAAATAAATTTTTTTTTATTTATAAGAATTTTATTTTTTGCAATTTACAGATTTAGAAAATTCATCAACTACTCGACCAACAAACATTGAAATTCAAAAAACCCAACCGCGAAACTTTGAAATTCTAGAAACCCAACTACAAAGCATTGAAATTCAACCTGAAAGAGTTGAAATTCAAGAAACCCAATCAACTAATCTTGAAATTCAAGAAATGTAATCACCAAACTTTGAAATTCAAAAAACTCAATCACTGGATATAAAACAAAAAAAAGCATCAAGAATTTCAAAAATAAAGTCTTATACTAGTTCTAATCCATATTCCACGTCTTCTATTATAGCACTTTTCAAGCCACCATATCATTCTGATTCACCAATGATCATTAAGTAATTAAGTATGGTAAAAAAAGAAAACCTTTGGTGACCATTTAAAATAGTATTGTAATTAATCTTCTTTCAAATGTTCTGCCACAAGGATATAACCTGAAAATCCATTTAAAAATTAGTTGATTTCTTTAACTTGTATTTTTTTTATCATTTATTACAAATTAAAGAATAATACTTAGCTTTGCAAATTTATGTGCTGCTAATAAAGTAACCAGAATTTATGTATTTTCACATATAATGTGATTGAAATTTGTGTATTAAGTTATTAAAAAGTGACCAATAATATATATGAAAAAGTTCTGGTGTGCACATAGGACATGACCAATAACTATAATTATTATATACATAGCAAGTTACTCTTTTGTAGGAACAAGAATTAGAAGAGCAGTTAAACATGATGTAAAAATCTCTCAGAAATTATTGGTCAGGTAGGTGGAATTTTAACAAAAGGTTGTCTTGTAATGCAAACTTTGCATTCATAGATGGTATCATTAATTACCTTTTGCTGAATAAAACAATATCACATACAAATCTTTAATTTCATTATAAGTAAGTATTAAAAAAAAAACTTTTTACCAGGTTTTTTCTTAACCAATATGTTCTGTTGCTTAGTGTATAGTACAAATTACTTTATCAATATAGCAAACTTGTGTTTCTAGATCATATTCAGTTGGTTTAATTGTATGAAGTTCTTTAGTCATACCAACATAAAGAATTTTAAAATTATGAATCACCCAATATTTAAATTTGGGCTTTGTAAATTGTTTAAATTTTAAGTATATTTAAACATTGATTATATTTATTTTGATCCATTAAATTATAATTGTTTTTTCTTTAACTAATAAAAGTTCTAATAAAGTCATCCTCCTCTACAGTCACCTTCTATGTAATCACACCCTCTTTATAAGCACTATTTTTTGAAAAATTATTGCCAATATATTTATTAAAAAAACTCTATATAATTATATTACTATTGAAATTTTATAATCACATTTTTTTTATGCAAAACAAACAGTATGATTATAGAGGAGGATAACTGTATTTGATCAAGATTTTATATACCAGAAAGTTGTATTGTTCTATTTTTAAAAATTTTTAATAATAAAAAAATAGGAAAAATTTATTTAAAATTTAAATTATACAGTTAAACCTTTCTAAATATATAGCCTCAAGTGGTCAAAAAATATTGCATTTAGAGAGGTATTGCATTTAGAGAAGTAAAAATCTATAAGTGTTATATAAGTTGGGACCAAACAAGACCATACATTTAGAGAGACTATGCATTTAGGAAATATACATTTGGAAAGGTCTAACTATATATTCAAAAATTTTATTTATTTATTTTTCTTTTCTTTTATAGTTTTGGCTAACCAAATCTCAAAATCATTCTAATCTTGAAATTTAATTGGCCAAAATTATATAATATTTTTTGGAGTTAAATATTTACTTGCTCCTTTTTGCTCTTAAGCACTTATATTTGTATATACCTCTTGTATAAACATGCATATTCATATATAATCATGTATAATTATGCATGATTATATACTATAATGTAAGGAGTACATAAAAAATATAATATTTATTTGGTTCATATAAACTAAACTAGTTTAAACTAAATTTTTAAACTAGTTATTTAAAACTTTATTATTTGGTTAGTTTAATTTTAACTACATGTATCAAAGTTTAATAAACTAAACCAAGCCAAACCTGACTTTTCTTTCCCTACTTTATACCTCTGTATCAGTTCTAGCTTATATATATGACACTATTAGGATTCTGAAGTTCAGTTTAAGTTTAATTAAGTTCAGTTTAGTTTAATTGAACCTGAACTGAACTTGAACTGAACTCTAATTTTTTATTAAATTTGAACTTGAACTGATCTTGAACTGGACTTGAACTGAACTTGAACACAACAAAAATTCAGTTCAATGTTCAGTTCAGAGTTCATAAACATGTTCAGTTCAGTTTTAATTCAAAATATATATGTTTAATTTTGAGTACTGAACAAGTTTACTTAGAGCATAAAGTTAGAATTAATTAGTAAAATTTCGAGAATAATAATATTTTATATAATTTTATTAATAA